TTCTCTCCCTCTTACCCTCCTATGAGCATATGTGCTCTATAGAAAAAACTTAAAAAAAAAAAGAAGAAGAAAAAGAAAAAAGAAGGCAGACCAAACATGGAATCCTGGATTCCAGAATAACTGATTATGTAGTATTATAAGAAGCAGAATGGGGATTTTGTATTTAGGGGAGAGGGAGGTAGATCAACGAAGTGGTTAAGTTTGATTTCATTGGAGGCTGCTATTTAGCCTGCTGGCAATAACTTGTGGGCCACTGAAAATATTTAACTATTACAGAGAAAACAGATTGGTATAAAACAAAAAATAATCAGGTAAGAGCAATTATATTTACAAAAGATGAGCAGAATCATTTCAAAAGAAGGGTAAAGAACCAGAATTCTTATTTTTTGGCTATAGGGTGCATGTATTCACCAAGAAGAAAGTGGTGGGGAGAGAAAGAGAGAGAGAGAGGGAAAGTGAGAAATAACTCCCCGGGAGGATGGCCAACCCACAATCCCTTCTCTTCCATTCACCCCTCAGGATTTTGGGCAAGCACGCATATGCGCCTGGCATGAGTTTCAAGCTGCCGGGTCCAGGACTTGAACCACAGTCAACTACATGGGAGTCGGACACCTTAACTACTATGCCACCTGCTGTCCCTGCATAACCCATTTCACAACTACTCTAACTATAAACTTTACTATAAATTCTTTTTATAGCATAAAAAAATATGCAACAAAAATATTTCTAAATAGGTGAAAAACGAAGATGAGTATATTATATTTATAATCTAATCTCATTTAGGGTCCAAAAAAGCATATTCTATTTCTTGGTATATAATAAAGCACATCAAGAAACATTAATTAAGGTCAAAGAATTTACAAAGAGCTATATATGACCTTAGGGAATGACATGGAACTAGTAACTGTAGGTCACACGTACTGAGTGATTACTTAGTATCACATACTGCTTTTTTAGTGTTTTACATGAATGACCTCATTTAATCCTCACAAAAGCCTCCTGAATTACACAATATTATTCACATTTTACAGAAGCAGAAACTGGGGCACTGAGAAGTGGTGCAACAGGCCAAAGGTCAATCAAAGAAGAGGCGGCAGAGATAGAACTTGAACCTAAGCCATCACACATACTCTGAGCCCATACTGTGATTTCTATTAATATAAAGAATACACCATATGACTCTAAAAGAAAAGCAAAATGCTTCTCTCTCTGTATGCTTGCTTACCTTGAAGACCTGCATATTTAAGGGATGACCAGTTTGGTATGTCATAGCATCCTCCACCATCTTCTTGCTCTTCTGATTCACACCGGTAAAGGATCTGATTTAGCTCAGCCAAAGTTAATTTAGAGGCAATGCTAAAAATTAGGAAACAAAAACATTGGCTAAATATACTGAAATTTTGCTGGCTGTCAATGGAAACAAAAGATGAAAATCTGAAATCATAAAACGTCTTAGCAATGTATGTTTTAGGAACTCAACATTGAAATAAACACTATATTCAATATATATTATAAATAATAATTAAAGGGCAAAACATGCTAAAAATTCCATTAGAAGATTACTTCTGAACCAAAAATTAATCAAATGCCAAATTTTATTGATTAGAAATATGCTGGAAAGATCTTACATCAGGCTAAGAAGTTTCGGCATGGCAAAAGACACAGTAATTAGCGTGAATGATGGTCCTCAGAATGGGAAAAGATTTTTGTAAACTATGCATCAGATAAGGGGTTGATAGCCAGAATACACAAGGAACTCACACAATTGTTTAGAAAAAAGATGACCAACCCTATTAAAAGATCGGAGAATGAGTTGAAAAAAGCATCATCTAAAGATTACATTTGAAAAAAAAAAAAAAAGATTACATTCGAATAGCCAAAAGGCATATGAAAAAATGCTCAACATTCCTCATTTTAAGGGAAGTGCAGATCAAAACAATAATGAGATACCACCTAATCCCAGTTAGAATAACTAAAATGAAAGAAAAGACAAAGGATAAGTGTTGGCAGGGGTGTGGTGAAAGGGGAACTCTCTTACACTGTTGGTGGGAATGTAAATTGGTCCAGCCACTGTGGAGAACAATTTGGAGATTCCTCAAAAATAGAACTACCATATGATCCAGCAATCCCACTCCTTGGTATCTACCCAAAGGACAGAAAAACTCTTAATCAGAAAAGTGCCTGCACGTTGATGTTTACTGCGGCACTATTCACAATTGCTAAGACATGGAACCAACCCAAATGCCCATGAACAAATGAATGGATTGAAAAACTATGGCATATATACTCTATGGAATACTACTCAGCAATAAAAAAACAAGACCCTGGTTTTTGACAGGAAGTGGATGAATATGGAAGATTAACTGCTGAATGAAGCAAGCCAGGCTATGAAGGAGAGGCACTGTATGTCCCCACTTAATATATACTGAGTGTCCGCAATCTATGACAGAAACTGATTGACTAAAGGATATAGAAACACAGTAAATGGATGTGAATACCAGATATAGCGTGTGTGAAAGAGTAGAGTCTGAGGAAGGACATTTAAAAGAAAAAGAGAGAGATAAAGCATTAATGGGACAAAGAAATGTGGTATTATCTGTTGAACATAATTTTATAGTTTATCAACAGACTAGAGAGAAATGTTCACATGTTGGAATATTCACTTTGTAAGCTAAATAATGTGATTGAATGTATAAAAGAAAATGAAATATAAAATAAATAAATAAAAATAAAACAGATCACCATTAAAAAAAGAAATATCCTAGAAAAATCTTTTGATTTTTGTATCCATTATCTTATAAATTTGTTTTTTAAATCTTGCTAGTTTAATTTACTTCTCCCCCTTTTATATTTTCCTAAACAAGACATCAAGAACTTTTTGTGATGGTTATCTAAAACTCAAGATACTTACCAAAGAACCAGTAAAGGGATAATTAAAAGTCAAAGTTAATTACCTAAGAAATTGTATTCTCTGTCTCTGTATTTCCCTTAGAGTCTCTTTTCCCCTCTCTTAAGGATTTTCTCAGATAAAGATGCTTCTTGATTTGATGATGGTTAGAAAGAAATGTAGCTATCACTGCCTTGATTTTCCTGTGTCCAGTAAGCAGGGGAGTATTTAACTGACCACATTTGAATACAACTGAAACTGTATGTTTCTGTGCTCTAGCTACTCAGGTAATTTCATTTTACTTAACTGCCGTTTTATGTGAACACATACTCTTTTGAATGTGTGAATACTTCCTTTTTATTTCTCATGCAACTTAGAAAGTTATCAGTTGTGCATTGTTCCCTGTCTTAGCTTCTCTTCTCACAACTACAGTTCACGAATCCAGCCTGAATCAAATAATCAGCAACCTCAGAACGAACTCTGGACTAGGGTAGTATTTTTGAACACACAGCCAGTGGATACCTTGCATAAAAAAAATCCCTAGGGGGAACCAGCAGTTAGCGTAATGGCTATGTCGCTGGACTCCCACGTAGTTGACCGCGGTTCGTGTCCCGGACCCGGTGGCTTAAAAAACTCACGCCGGGCGTGTGTGCGTGCGTGCCCAAGATCCTGAGAGGAGAATGGACGAGAAGGGATTGCGGCGTGACCATCCCCCCTGGGGGGTGATTTCTCGCTTTCTGTCTCTATGTCTCTCTCTGTCTGTCTGGTGAGCGCACGCGCCCTACAGTGAAAATCTCTCAAAAAAAAAAAAAATCCCTAGGAACCATATAGCCTAATGGTTAAAGGGAGATAAAGCCTACATAGCCAACCATGGCTCAAATCTCAGCCCTAGCAGCTTCAAAAACTCACCTATCTATATATATGGAGGATTTATAGCATAAGAGCACGCATGAGAGCACACGTGACGAATGGTAAAGCAATAGAACAAAACATTAACAACAGGTGATGCTGACACCGCTGTCTATGACCATACTGCAAGCAGCAAGGACACAGAGGCTCCTACAAATTGCTTAAATCAGGGCCCAGCAGTGGTGGCACAGGTGACAGGGCACCACTATGAAATACTGTAGCCACGTGGGAGGCCTGGATTTAGATCTGAGATTGACCTGAGCATGCCAAATATGTTTTACCTGTGATCCTGGCTGGTTGGGAGGCTGGAGGAGGACTGCTACTTGACAAGACCCTATAAAGGGTACCTACCTTTCTCTCATGAAAAAAATAAAATAAACTTTAAGACAGACAAAATCAGGCTTAAATCAGGCTAGTAGTAACTTGCTAGTCATTAAAGTGCCAAATCTCTATAAAATATGTCATACTTACGAAGCAAAAGGAATTTTTAATATGGGATCTGAATTGTCAACAGCAAGACTTCCAGCTTTAAAGTGAGGACTGAACTGTGTCAGATGGTTTCGAAGAATTCCAACAGCAACTTGTGCATGCGGATCAAGACTAACTCTGAAACAGTTAACAAAAACGATTGATTTTTAAGAGTAATTTATTCACAGTTAATAGGATATGCAAACTGTTTTAAATTTAAGTAAACCCAACAATTTGAACTCTAATTAACAACATACCTGAATACAATAACACTTCCTGGAGACAAGTTTTCAAATTCTATTTCTTGAATATATTCATTGGGCCCTTTTATGGCAACTCCAGCTTGTCTAACAATTTTACTTTCATTAAGCTTGAAGAAAGCAATACAAAAACATCCATTCAATGGCTAATTCTAATGTTCTAAAATGTTACATTCAATAGTAAGATGAGAGTCCCAAATACCTGAATATGTTCCCTAATTTCTACTGTGAAGTTTGGCAGTCCATTGATTGACTTCTCATTCTTCTTATAGGGTTTTGTATTTCTCTCAATAGTTCTAGCTTCAAGAACGACTTCCTCAATTTTACCTAAGAAGATATAAAAAATTTAGTAAACTTCCATATGGAACCATCTGAAATTAGGAATTGCTACAGTGCTTTTGAATAATTTAACTTAAAGTTGAAAACAAGATACTGATTAATTTTAAAATGCAAAATGATTTGAAAGTAGATGATTCTACTTAAGATGCATTCTTCACATATGCATTTAAAGATTTTGTTTGTTTGAGATAATGTCTGTGTGCATGAGAGAGTGGGGGTGGGAACAGGTAGTGGAAAGGGGGTAGAGAGAGAGGAAGAGAGAGACAAGCAACCTCCATAGGAGTCTGATCATGCTGGATTCCCTTCCTCCAGACCCCAGCCCATCAGATCTTGGGGACTGAACATGTACCTGGTGTGTTTCAGGCTGATCAGGCCTGGGATTCAAAGCACAGTTGCCTTGTGGGATCTTGCTTTTCTGGGAGTACATTACTACTGTGCCATGGAGCCAACCCTTACATATACTGTTTTTAAAAAATTACAATTAATAAATCTTTATTTGAAAAGAGAGCTGATCAAATAATAATGGCTTAGCGATGGGGAACAATATATAACCTTCCTGATTTTGAGCAGAGAGAGGAAAAGGTTTACATTTTTAAGAATTGAAATGTTGGGACCAGCAGATAGTGTAATGGTTATGTTGTTGGACTCCCACGTAGTTGACTGCAGTGTTGACTGCGTTTTAGCCATACCCTCCTCCAGCTGTGGTGTGTGTCATTTCTCACTTTCTGTCTCTCTCTTTGTCTCTCCGGCAAGCACACACACGCTATAGCAAAAAATCTCTAAATAAAAAAAAAGAAAGAAAAAAGAATTGAAATAGTTCAGAAATATAGTGAAAAAAGAAGTTTTTTTTTTTTGGAGAGGTTTTTTTTTATTTTTTTTGCTATAGGGCGCGTGCGCTCGCCAGACAGACAGAGAGAGACAGAGAGATAGAAAGCGAGAAATCACCCCGCAGGGGGGATAGCCATGCTGCAATCCTTTCTCCTCCATTCTCCTCTTGGGATCTTGGGCATGTGTGCACACACGCCCGGCGTGTTTTTAAGCCAATGGGTTTGGGACGCAAACCGCGTCGACTACGTTGGAGTCCAGCAACATAGCCATTACGCTAACTGCTGGTCCCAATATACCCTTCTTTCTTCTTCAGAGGTAACAACTACTTAAAGAGTCTGGTGTCCATTATACCAGCTATTTTACTGACTATGTATGTTTTGCTAAACAATATGTATCATTTTCCGTATTTCCAAGTTGTATTGTAATGTATTCAAGTTATATGTATTTTTCTATAACTTTCTTTCTATTGGGTGGCACTGTTATTATTTTTTTTTAGATTAATTTACATTGCTACATTAGCTCTAGAACATTTTATTTTTAATGCTCCAGGTTGATAATTTTAAAAATTAGAATTATGGGTCTGGCACGATAGCCCAGTGGCTAAAAAAGCTGGAGCCCATGGCTGATTGAGGTTCAAATCTGTGTGGCCTGAAACACACGCTGGTGTTTGCATACACATGCCACATATACCACTAGGATGGAGAAATGGAGGACAAAGGACTGTGAATAACCAGGCCCCACTGGGGGGATTCTTTCTCCCCACCTCTCTCTGCCTCTCTGGCAAGCACACGTGCCCTTCGGCAATTAAGAAAAATAAAATTGGAGCTATGTATATTCAGCAACAAGGGAACAATACAGAACACACTGATTTTTACAGGACTCTTCATTTGCCCGGTCAATCATCAGTTGCTGACCAGTTCCTGCACACACAAGAACATGCTGTGCTGTAATATACTATATACACTAGAACATCTAGAAAAAAGCCAACCAGTAATGACACATGTATTTCATAATTAAGTGTCAAATAGTGACATGGAGAGACTAGAAAGGAGAGAGAGAATCACTAAGTCCTTACAGAAGGCCTCCCAAAGAAGGTAGAACTTTAGTCTTTGAAAGATATGAACGGTTCATGTGCAGGTGGAGAGAAGACTATTTGAGGAACAGTGAAAAAGTACATGCCTATTTGGCTGAAATAGTGGCTGACACAGGGCTAGGATGACATATGAGACTAGAATATAAAAAGCCTTAAATATTAGGTTGGATTCTTCTCTATTTTAGCTAATATATATGTGTGTGTGTGTGTGTACACACATATATACACACATATACAAATATACATACATTTGTCCCTCAGTATCTGTGGAGAACTGGTTTAAGTATCCCCCAGGAATATCAAAATCTGTGGATGTTCAAATTCCTTATACAGGCACCAGCAGATGGTGTAATGGTTACGTTGTTGGACTCCCATGTAGTCGATTGCAGTTCAAGTCCTGGCGGCTTGCGACTTACGCCAGGTAAGTATGGGTGTGTGCCCAAAATCCCAAGAGAAGAATGGAGAAGGGACTGTGGCATGGCCATCTCCCCTGGGGGATGGGGGTAATTTCTCACTTTCTGTTTCTCTGTCTCTGTCTTTCCAGCAAACACACATGCCCTATAGTAAAATCTCACCACACACACACACACACACACACACACACACACACACATACACACACAGTCCCTTATATAAAATGGTGTAGTAATTACATATGCCCTATGTACATCCTCTGTGTACATTAAATCATCTCTAGATTACTTATATAATACAATGCAAATGTCATATAAATACCTATTATACTTATTTTAAATTTTGTATTATTTTTATATAAAATTTTTTTGAAAATATTCTATCTATGGTTGGTTGAATCCATAGATGCTGAGCCCAAAGATAGAGAGGGCTGACTGTATATAGAAAGTCTTCAAAAAGTTCATGAAAAATGTGTATTATGAAAAAACTATGTATGGATTTCAATTTTTTTTTTTTTGAGAGGTTTTTGCTATAGGGTGCGTGTGTTCTCCAGAAAGACAGAAAGAGACAAAGAGATAGAAAGCAAGAAATCACCCCCCAGGGGGGATGGCCATACCGCAATCCCTTCTCCTCCATTCTCCTCTTGGGATCTTGGGTACGCACACACGCGCCCGTGTGGGTTTGAAGCTGCCGGGTCGGGGACTTGAACCGCGGTTGACTATGTGGGAGTTCAGCGATGCAGCCATTACGCTAATTGCTGGTCCCCAATTTTTTTGATATAAAAATGAGTTCATGCTTTTTTTTGAGAGACTTTTGCTATAGGAAACTTGCTGGAGAGAGAGAGAGAGACAGAGAGACAGAAAGTAGGCAATCACCCCTTCCTCCAAGGGGTCAGGGGTTGGAGATGGCCATGCCACAATCCATACTCCTCCATTCTCTAGGGATTTTGAGCTTGCACGCACATGTGCCCAGCCTGAGTTGTAAGCCACTGGGTCTAAGACCTGAACTGCAGTCAGTCATGTGGAAGTCCAGCAGCTTAACCACTATGCTATTTGCTGATGCCAATTCATATTTTAACTACATTTTTCTATAAATGTTTTGAAGTCCCTTTGTATACTGTGCTAGATATAAAAGGAATATATGTTGGGGTTAGCAAGTGGTGTGGTGGTGAAGGCACTAGACTCCCATGTGTGGAACCATGGTTTGAGTCCTGGACCTGGCGGCTTGTTTTCTCACTTGCACCCCCACCTCCCCCTCACTCCCTGTCTCTCTCTGCTGAGTGCATGTACCCTATAGCAAATTAATAATAATAAGTTAAATAAAATAAATTGTTCTTTTTTTTCCGTCTTATAGAGAGATTTTTACTATAGGGTGTGTGTGCTCACCAAAGAGTCAGAGAGAAAGAAAGCAAGAAATCAGTCTCCCCAGGGTGATGGCCATTCATCCATTCTCCATTCTCCTCTTAGGATTTTGGGCACACACACACACACCCATGCGCGCGCCTGCTGTGAGATTTAAGCCTTTGGGTCTGGGACCAGAACCACAGTAGGCCATGTGGGAGTCCAACAACATAACCATTACGTCATCTCCTAGTCTCAATAATTCTTTAAGATAAAAAAAAATACATGTTTATCTTATACAAATTAGGAAACAAGGGGATGTATTAAGATATAAACAGAATGGGTCAGCAGGTGACGTGGTGATTAAGGCACTGGATTCCCACATCGTTAACCACAGTTCAAGTCTCAGATCTGGTAGCTTCTTCCTCATTTCCCTCTCTCTCTTTCTGGCCAAATTTAAATAAAATTAAATTAATAATAATTCTTTTTTTTTCTTATAGGGCACATGAGCTTGCTGGAGAGATGGAGAGAGAGAAATCACCCCCTAGGGTGATGGCCACACTGCAATCCCTTCTCCTCTATTTTCCACTGGGGATTTTGGTCATGCACATACACACCCCTGGCATGAGTTTTAAGCGACTGGGTCCAGGACTTGAACTGTGGTAGTCTACATGGGAGTCCAGTGATATAACCATGACATCACCTGCTGGTCCCAAATAATTCTTTAAAAAAAGATATAAGCAAAAATAATTCACAAACCAGAAAAATGTTAACATTTGAGAGTATTTCTGTTCAAGTTTTGTTTCATACAATAAAAATACAAGTTACTAAAATTTTCTAATTCTCTTTTTCAACTATATCCATACTGTGTGGTAATACATATATGGGTAATACATATGATTTACAACCACAATTTAATTAATTATAATAATATAATTTAATAAAAAAATAATTATAATAATAATTTTAGATTTCATTACCAGGGATGCACATTTGAGGCACTTCCTTGCTATAAAATGAAGTCTTGGGATTCCTAAAAGCAGTCCTAGACACAGCCACAACAGACTGATGGATACTAGGTGAATGTCTTGTTACTGCCACTATGTCTTCATCAACCTGATCCACATAAACCTGAGAATCAGAAAGAATAATTAAATTAGTAATCAAACAGGACAGGTTTGCTCTGATAATGAAATTTATAAAAAAACAAAACTAGAAAAATTAGTTTCTTGCCTGTATAAAACCCTTGGCTCCAAGCTCTTGATGAAGTTTATTGATAGCACACCTGGCAGCAATAATGCCACTTTGCAAATTAACTTCTTCTGTATTTGATAGCGCTGCTCCAGGATTCCACTTGGTATAAAATCGCTCTTCAGACACCACTGAAATCTGGACAAAGGTAGAACTTAGCCACACATACATTTTCATTATAATGAGTGCATATGATAAAAATGCTTTAGTGTCTTAGCCACACAGATTTTAAAAAACAACATAAACAGGGACTAGCAGATGGTATAATGGCTGCATCGCTGGACTCCCACATGGTTGACTGTGGTAAGAGTCCCAGACCCGGCTGCTTAAAACTCATGTGCATGTGTACCCAAAATCCTGAGAGGGGAATAGAGAAGAACGAATTGCAGTGTGGCTATTCCCCCAGGAGGTGATTTCTCGCTTTCTGTCTCTGTCTCTCTAGTGAGCATACACTCCCTAAAGCAAAAAATCTTTCTTAACAACAAAGACATAAACAAACCTGATGAGGCACTAATTCATCATAGCCTCTTGTACTTCCACTAGCACAGCAGGCCATGGAAACAATTGTGGAACTTGGAAGGGCATCATATGCTGATCGGTGCTGGAAAAGAACAAGAAAGCAAAAGTTTACTCTCAAGTGCAAAGTCATTCTATGGCATAATGAAGTAAAAGAAGAACTACATAAACACGTTTTGTAAGGTATGTTAATTTCTTTTCAAACAAATAACAAGAGATTCTAAAATGATGTGCTATCATCACTTATAAATATACGACACTATTTTGGAGTATGCGAATATTACTGTCATTAAGTATCAGAGAACCAAATATGAAAGCATATTAGCAAAATAAGCAACTACAAGAACCCGATTAGACACTTACGACTATAGGACACTCATTATCATGGGTAATATCCATAAACAGGGCGTGTGCGATTGCTGGCATTAAAGGTCTCAAACAGGGCTGCACAAAGGATCCCACGGGTTCGCCTCCGTATCGGTAAACCAACCTGCCCTCTTCATGGCTGTTATACGCACTCATTGCCTCTGCAGAGCATTACAGAACAGTTAACACTCTCCCTTTCTCATGTCCAAAACAGGGTTAGATTTCTTATAACTGATTTTCAAAATAAAGGCCACAGCAATATTATCAAGGATAAACTCCTTACACATCTATTAGCTCAAGTAACAAAAATATCTTCTACAACTTTATTGGAGAAATGGCTCATGTAGGGAAAAGATAACATATGTTATTAGAACATTGACTACACAAAATCTATATTGAAAGAAAATCTAAAAATTACATCACATATCCAGGTAAGAGATGAAAAACAAATTGTTATATGTTTGACAACAATAAAACACGGTTTTGTTGGTCTTGCGATTTGAAATAAGATATTTTACTCCAAAATAGAAATTTTTATTGATAAAAATATACTGAGTTATATTATAAAACTTTCTTTATATTATCTAAAAGAACATTAACTGTGTTAAAAAATTATTGAGCATTAAAGATAGAGCTATTAAATGCCTTTTGATGTACCTAAATGAAAGCTAAAGTTTTAGACAGTAAAAACACTTCAACAAGCCTACCTCTTATTAAGGAACTAATGCCCAGTCTAGTAACAAAGATATTGTCCAGTTCTTCGCTTCCTGTGAATAGTTCAGCTACTACATATAAATTGGGTTGCAATTTCCTAGCAGCGTCCAACATGTACTGCAAAAAGCACAGTCACAAATGTAAAAGAAAGAGAAAAGCAAGACGGGGAGGAAGGGAGGAGGCAAGACTAGGCGCAGAGTTGACATAGAAAAATACGTAGTGAGACAAAATGGAAATTAAAATGAATTTTCAACAAATTTTGTTGTGTATATGTAAGAAAATATCAAATAGAACAATATACATAAGAAGCAGAATTTATAAAGCAAATAAGACAGTTAAAAAGAAAGATTAGATTTTGCAAAGAAATAGGGACAACAGAGAGGAGAAAAAAGAAAGAATAATGTTAATATATTTTAAAAAATATAAACCATACTACAACAATTCTGTCAGGATATTCCTGTTTTTTTTTTTCTTTTTAATACCTCTAGTCAGATTATTAATTTCTTGACAGCTAAGTCATTATTGATAAATTCCCTACTGGTGAATTATTTACCTGTGGCAAAGATTAGGCCTGACTGCCCAGACTGAAAGCAACACATGACAATAAACTCTTAAATTCTTATAATTTCCACTTGTATACTTTATATTTAACACTGGTACTAACTATTTAGCTGAGAATCAGCAAATATTGGCTTACAATTAGCAATCAGATTGGTTCCAAATTTGTCTAACATAATGTTTGCACAAAAATAAATGAAATACTTGAAATTCTACCAACTTATAAGAAGAATCCTGGAGAATACTGTAACCTACAATTAAACAAATTCAAGTTTTAACATTCTGTTTTGCCATAATGTTACAGTAATCTTACAGGCAGATATATTTCTTGCTGTCACTAAAGTTACAACGACAACAAATAACTGCATTATTTAGAGCAACAGTCTATCAGTTTAATTAACTTTCACTAAATCCTTCCAAATCTAATCAATTTTTAGCACAGGACTTTTATATTATAATACTGCCTAAAAATGATAGAAATTGATATTTTTCAAATAAGGAAACATTTCCAAGGAACATTAAGTTGTCACTAGGAGGCTATCAAAAACCTCATAAGCAGGGACCAGCAGTTAGCATAACGGCTATGTCGCTGAACTCCCATGTAGCTGACCACGGTTCGAGTCCTGGACCTGGTGGCTTAAACTGACGCTGGGTGCGCATGGGTGTGTGTCCAAGATCCCGAGAGGAGAATGAAGGAGAAGGGATTGTGGCGTGGCCATCCCCCCTTTGGGGTGATTTCTTGCTTTCTATCTCTCTATCTCTCTGTCTTTCTGGCGAGCGCATGTGCCCTATAGCAAAAAAAATAAACCTCTCCCCCCAAAAAATTACTATGATAGTCTTATATTATAATGGATATTTAAATAGATTGGTATTACTAATAAAATAAAAATTAAAAAATCTCATAAGCACAACAAAATTATAAGTGTTAATTTACAAAATTATACTAAGTAGAAGATAACACTATAGGTACTGGCACTGTTCAAAGTGTAAGAAGCCAAAGAAGAATACAGAACATGTATGTCTACATTTAAATTTTTATAAATAATTTTAGAAAATAGAATCAAAGCTAAAACTAACGTCAATATACCAGTGTTAAAATAATCACTATAGGGGCTGGCAGGTGGTGGGGTGGTTAAGTCTCTGGACTCCCACATGGCTGACCACAGTTCAAGTTCGGACCTCATGGCTTTCTCTCTCTCTGTGTCTCTCCCTGGTCAAACTAAAGAACAATAATAATAATAATAAATAAAATTAAATTAAAAATTCTTTAAAAAAATCATTATAATATGTAAAGCTCCTCAACTTTACAGTATCTGCTAATATATATTTAAAGTAAACTAAAAATATAATTTACATATATTATCAATAGAAAATATGGCTTTAATGTACATCTCTAGAGACAGTATGATCAACCTTCCTAAATTTAAAATTCAAAAACTATTTATTAAACATTTTATAGCCCAGTATTATATAACAACTGCATCTGATTTGTTACTTACGCAAATTATGTAAAAGTTAAATACTATTACTGAACCAAAGCTGGTGTCCAGCCAGCAAAAAGAGACATGTACCTTCATAATCTACTCAAGTTAATCTAGGCAAGAACACTGAATTTCTTTTCTTAATGTAGATGAATTGTTTTTCTGTACCTCAGCTACATGAAGAGGTGTTGAGTGGCAGTTATCAAGACGCACTCCCTGGAAATAAGTTGCCGTTATTTCAGTGTATTTCTTCATGTGTGCCCAGAGATAGGGACAGTCCTCAGGTTTATTCCCATAGCGTAATTTAACACTGTCTCCCCAGCAAATAAGTTCTCTCCTTAAATAAACGTCTGAACCTGTTAAGAAAGGAGCTTGTTTTCAGTGGTTTAAGAAAAAAATAAAACCAATTACTTAATTTAAGGAAATACTGCTGTTTTAAAGTTGTACTAATTATGTCTACCAGTAAAGATACATAGGTTAAAATAATATTTAAAGGGGTATGAAATAAGCCTTCAAATAACATAATTTATAGTTCATACTTATTTTGTGAAAATTTTAGCTTACTGTCTCTTCTAAAAATGGTATGTTTAATTTCAAAATCCAAGTTGCTTCTTAAGGTAAAATAGTAGTAGTACTATCATAGGCCCTTTAAAATTATAGTTCTACCAAAAACATTTAAAGTTCCATCTCTACTTTCTACCAACTTTTGACAAAAGGTTATAGTAAACTTACAGTATAGGACAAGCTAACTATTTTTCAATAAGAATGGTTAGAAAAAATAGGGCAAGGGACCAGCAGTTGGCGTAATGGCTCTGTTGCTGGGCTCCCATGCAGTCGACCACGGTTCAAGTCCTGGACCTGGTGGCTTAAACTCACGCCAGGTGCATGTGCGTGCATGCCCAAGATGCCAGGAGGAGAACAGTGGAAAAGAGATTACAGCGTGGCCACCTCCCTTGGGGGGTGATTTCTCGCTTTCTGTCTCTGTCTTTCTGGCGAGTGCACGTGCCCTATAGCAAAAACCTCTCAAAAAAAAAAAAAAAATGAGACAAGGATACTTAAAACTCAGTTACATTCTTTTTTTTAGAGAGGTGTTTGTTGTTGTTGTTGTTGTTGTTGTTTTGTTTTTTTGCTATAGGGTGTTTAAACCACTGGGTCCAGGACTCAAACCACAGTCGACTACATGGGAGTCCAGTGACATAGCTATTACGCTAACTGCTGGTCCCTTCCCTTTTTATTTTCTAGGTTTTTGCCATACTTGCAGGTGGGGGGAGAAATAAAGAGAAGGAAAGTGAGAAATTACCCCCTAGAGAGGATGGCCAGGCCATAATCCCTTCTCTGTTCTCTCAGGATTTTGGGCAGGCACACACATACACCCAGCGTGATTTTCTTTTTTTTTTTTTTTTTTTGAGAGATAGGGCGCGTGCGCTCGCCAGACAGACAGAGAGAGACATACAGACAGAAAGCGAGAAATCATCCCCCAGGGGGGATGGTCACGCAGCAATCCCTTCTCCTCCATTCTCCTCTCGGGATCTTGGGCACGCATGCACACGCACCCGGCGTGAGTTTTAAGCCACCGGGTCTGTGACGTGACCCACAGTCGACTACGTGGGAGTCCAGCGACATAGCCATTACGCTAACTGCTGGTTCCCGCCCAGTGTGATTTTCAAGGCACCAGGTCTGGGGCTCAAACCTCTGATGGCTATGTGGGAGTCCAGCACTTTAACCACCATACTACCTGCTGGCCCTTAAACTCAGTTATATTCTTTTTTTCTTTTTCATTTTTTAAAAATTTTTTATGATTTTGAATAATTTTTAAATTTAATTTTATTTACTGTCATTATTTTATTTTTTGAAGTTGACCAGAGAGAAACAGAGAGAGAGAAGGAAAGTGAGAAAGCAAGCTGCCAGGTCTGCGACTCGAACCACACTCAGCTATGTATGAGTCCAGCTGCCTTAACCACCATGCTGCCTGCTGGCCCCTCACTTATATTCTTAAAAAACAAAAACAGAGCCTAAGATTTCCAAATTAACTTTACTTTTTTTTTTTTTTAAATGCCAGAGGGCATGTGCATACATGGGACTGGGTTAGAAGAGAAAGAGAGTCAGAGACAGAAAAAGAGAGAGGTGTCACTCCCTAATGGGGTCAAGTCATGCAGCAATGCTGTTTCCTCTCCTTTTCCATGTCATCAGGATCCTGATGTGCACCTGGCATGTTGCCACTGGGACTGGGATTTGAACTAAGAGTGGCCATGTGTAATCTGGCTCCCTGTGCACAGTGCTTAATCACTGCACTATGGAGACAGCCCTGAATTAACATTAATATCACTCAACCAGATTCCTAGTTCTGAAATGTTAAAAAATAAATACACAGATGGGCCACTACAAAATTCTTCCTGGAAAGGAAACAGCTGTAGAAAAGCAAGAGGCTAAGAGTAAGTAGGGGGGGGGATGGAGAGAGTGGCAGGTGACATGGTAGTTAAGGTTCTGGACTCCACGTGGCTAACTGTGGTTCAAGTCCTGGACCTGGTAGCTTGCTTTCTCACTTTCCTTCTTCCTCTCTGTTTGTCTCTCCCTGGTGAGCTCACATGATTTATAGCAAATTAATTATAATGATAATAATAAAATTAATCATCTTAAAAAAAGAGTAAGTAGGGAGAACCTAAAAACAAAGTCTAGTTCAACTGCCATTCAAATACCTTAAGATCTCTCTGCTCAACGAGTAAAAAAATCTTTCTTATGGCAATGTAACTGTAATAACAGGGGTTTTCTATGTCTCTCTCTGTCTGTCTGGTGAGCGCACGCACCCTATAGCAAAAGCCTCTCAAAAAAAAATAAAAAAGGAAAGAAAAGAAGTCGAAGGGGAGCCTGTAACATAGTGGTTAAGTGCAGTGCATAGGGAATCAGATTCTGCGAAGTGGATGGTTCTAATTTCTAGCTCCAGAGGTTTGAAAAAACATGTGTGTGCATGCTCAAAATCCTGATAGGTTGGAGAAATAGAAAAAATAAAGGCTGGCATGACCACCCCCCATTGGAGGGTTCCCTCTTGTGCGTGCCAGTACTCTGGTGAGCATATACACCCTCTAACAATTGAAATAAAAAGGAAAAACAAAAACAAGAAGACCTCAAAATGTGTGAAAATGTGAATTAAATTACAAGTTTATGTTGTTGTTAAAGACTATCTGGGGGCCAGCAGGTGACATGGTTAAGGCACTGGACTCCACGTGGCTAACTGTGGTTCAAGTCCTGGACCTGGTAGCTTGCTTTCTCACTTTCCTTCTTCCTCTCTGTTTGTCTCTCCCTGGTGAGCTCACATGATTTATAGCAAATTAATTATAATGATAATAATAAAATTAATCATCTTAAAAAAAGAGTAAGTAGGGAGAACCTAAAAACAAAGTCTAGTTCAACTGCCATTCAAATACCTTAAGATCTCTCTGCTCAACGAGTAAAAAAATCTTTCTTATGGCAATGTAACTGTAATAACAGGGGTTTCAAACTTCTTTTAAAAAATGAAATAGAATAATATTTTCCCAGATAAAGGTTTAAGTAGACCAACAATATAGATATGTAAAAACTGTTCTGTTTGAGAAGATAATAGGCAGGAGGGCAAAGCAGAGGAGAGGCGATGAGCTCCATTATTTCGCCAACTTTTTCTCTTCTCTCTCTAACTGTATGTACCTCTGGTACCTCTGAGATAAAGCAATTTAAATAGCACTAGTCTGGTGAGAACAAAAAGCAATAGAACAGACTATATTTTTGAGCTTTCTATGAACTCTGCTTTCACTACCCATAGAGAAGTTAAAAATAATATACCTGGTTCAGCAAAGTTTCGAAGAGGATCATCTCCCATTACCCATCCATTATGTGCCATTAGAAAACAAGCTTTATTTGGGAGATGAATCATAGATTCTTCTGTGGAGAATGCCATTTCTTCAAATGGGAAAGTAAAATACCTACGCAGATAAAATTAAATGTTAAATCTGAACAGAGAAACTCCTTAGAGAAAATCTGAATTTGTAACATTAAACTTCTCTAATAAATAGAAAAAATGAGATTAACACCATTTATAAGAAATAAATTTCAATACAGGTTTAGTACCCTTTATCTGACATGCTTGAAACCAGAACTGTTTTGGATTTTGGATTTTTTCAAATTCTAAAATATTTGCATATACATAATGAGTCCAAACTTGATATTCATTGATATTTCTGATAAACCTTATTATATGTGTATCCTGAAGATGATTTTATACAATATTTTGTATTGCAGCATATTAACTGTGACCAATCGCATGAGGTCAGATGTGGAATTTTCTATGGCATCATGTTGGTGCTCAAACATTTCCAGATTTGGGAGATTTCTGATTTTGGATTTATGGACCAAGGACACAGGTCAAAGGTCTTTTAGTAGACTTTCTGAGTAAATCTAGAATGATTTGAGGAATGTAGTGTTAACATTATAGCATATCTGGCTAACATTTTCATTAATTTTTAACACCTTATAAAATTATAAGGAAGTCATTGAGGTGTTGATGTTACTTTGCAAAAACTTTACACTCTAGTTGCCCACTTACATTGCCCACAAAGTAAGAAGCTATTGGACTGTGGGGAAAGTCATGATGCATTTTTGCATAGAAAAACATAGAAAAATATGTCACGACTTTCCCGATGACCTAATACATGTTTGCTCAATATGATCAATATTTAATTTATTACTAAGTATGGCTTCCTCCAGAAATATTAACATAAATAGTAAATATAAAATGGTTCATGCTGATGTTAGTTTCTCTAACAAAATATTTGCTTACCACAATTGACTCATATTAAGCTTACTTCCAAATCAAAAACTTCTACCTCTGATTAAGAAAAGTACGGAAGGTACACACTGAAGGAAACGTTCAGGACAACATGAAAAAATTAAATACAATCTTCAATTCTTAACTATCAAAGAGAAGAAAATAAAAATGGAATACCTGGTAACTAAAGGATATTTTCTAGTGACAGGTCCCAGTTTAGGACCATGGCCAGCCATTCGCTCATAAAATACATTTCCCAAAAGGCAATTAACTGCCTGGAAAACATTAAATTATGTTATATTATCATCAGCAGCAGTCACAGCAACAACAAAGTAGCATTAAAGATTAAAACATGAAACAAACAAAAAAAACAGCAGTTCAAAAATAAGTCAAACCTGTTCCTGATGATAATTCATAAGTCGAAACTTCTCTTCATTTAATTCTTCAAGTCTCTTATGGAACCAATTACAACATTCTTCAATTGCAGCTGGTCCATTGCTTAAGAGGACAGACCAACAAAAACTTATTACTTAATGGTATTACAAATTGTACACTAAGAATTTTCTAATGAGGGTCACAGAAACCTTAACTATGTTCATCAGTATCTTAATTATGGTTGAAGAAGCTTTCCAACATTTATACATGTTTATATATGTAAAAGAGTTTATATATATAAACATATACATGTATAGGAACATGGCCTGACACACAAAAAAAGTGGGGAACTCTTATATTGTAATAGTGGAGTTACGATGTATTACTTTATCTCATTTTCTACCAAGGGCTTTAGTAAATGGTATGAAATCATACTAACCATAAAAATTTATAATTTATATATTACTCTTCATTTTAGTTTTTTAATCGCCACTTTTAATACACTCACCACTTGATCAACAAAGATGGACAGAGAAAGGGAGAAAGAAACAGCACCCCCTCAATGGGGTGTGGTCACGCTATAGTCCCTTCTCCTCCATTTCTCCATCCTGTCAGAATTTTGGGCATGCACACACCCCCACAAATATGAAAGGGCTGGAATTTTTTTTTTTTTTTGGAGAGGTTTTCGCTATAGGGTGCGTGCGCTAGCCAGAAAGACAGAGACAGACATAGAGACAGAAAGCGAGAAATCACCCCCCAGGGGGGATGGTCATGCCGCAATCCCTTCTCCTCCATTCTCCTCTCGGGATCCTGGGCATGCATGCACACGCGCCTGGGGTGAGTTTTAAGCCACCGGGTCCGGGACGCGACCCACGGTTGACTACGTGGGAGTCCAGCGACATAGCCATTACGCTAACTGCTGGTTCCCAGGGCTGGAATTTCTATCATGGTAAGCCATGAGGGATCTGGTTTCTTAACCACTAGGTTATCAGGCCAGTCCATATTATTATTTATTTCACAGAAAAAATATATAACATACTCATGTGGTATGAAAGTTGCTAGTGCAATGTTCATATCAACAGTACAGCCAAGCCGTCTATACTCAGGGTCCTGAATAATCTTAAGATGTTCCTTTGGATCAGATTTAGTTACTCTCCTTCCTGAAAGACAGAAAGGTATCTTAAATGCAAATATCCACAAGGAGATTAAAACTGCTACTGATTTAAAATTTTTTAATCTACATTTTTTCAGAAAAAAACAAAACAAATAAATATGTATCTCAGAAACAACCTTCCTATAATCTCTTCTTATTCTTCTGCAGTTACCCTCTAGCTCCTCAATGGGAGGGGGAAGAAATGGAAAGAAACACAATAACACTATTAACAAAAACCACGGGAAATTCTATCAGTTCAATCCCAGGCCCACTTTTTCTGCCTTGGTCTGTTCATTTATTTTTTATTTTTATTATTTTTTAATGGCATTAAGGTCTTTAGAAATAAGTGTTTTCTTCCCAAGTGCTACCAAATATTCTGATTTCAAGAATTCTTTTTCCATAAACTCTTCCCTGTTCTTAAGTCTTACCAACAGCCTGACCTTCTTTGTAGTCTCTGAAATAAGCACACAGGAATGTTTTAATCCTTTTTCTTTTCACCAACAACCATATTCCTTACATAATAATAATAATAATAATAATAATAATAATAATAATAAACTAAAAAGGAAATAAATGGGTTTTGAGAGAATTTTCACTCTTTTTCTGAAACTCATTTGTAATACATCAGACTTTGGTATAGGATTGCCTGATCTTAGCATTCTCTGAAAGAAGCACACATGATTGCTTTAGTCATGTCCTCAGCTGAAGACTGGTTTCCTTCTGTTACTGGCTAATACCTGGTTTCATTCTCTGACTAGTGGTTTAGGTGTTCTGAATGATGGGCACACCGTCAGCTGGAAGTTCCGCTGTGTCTGGTAAGATCTTACCATAGACAACAGAACTATCATACTCTGTTTCAAAGCCTGTATTCAAGCTCTTCTCAACTAAAGTAACCTGCTCTACCTACCTCTCTTTCACATGTTTAACAAGTATATCCTAAATTTTACTGTATTATGAGCATTCTGCTAAGAAACAGTATGGTGAAGTCCCAAAGAATTGTATATTTATTTACGATGGCATGCCCTTCAGATGTCTCTAACTCTCAGCTTTCAGAATCAGTTCATGATATTAAAAACCCCCACAAATATAAAAACAAATTTAATTATAAGGTTAAACAAGAGAAGAGTTATGTCTTCAAAAGTAATACTCAATTTCATAAAACTGATAAAGTCATTCTAGTGCATATTCTTTACCTTGTGTAAGAAGTCCTCTAAACTGCTCAACTGCTTTGTAAATGTCTACTTGGAAAAATTCCCAGAGGTGAATCTTTGGAAAAACATCCTCCCAAATTATTTTTCGGATGCACTGAAAAATTTCGGTAGTAAAAAAAAAAAAAAAATTAAAATAATTTCACCAAACACTATTTAGCATATTAATATAAAGATTCAAAATAATTTTCAAATATATATTTAATCTGTACTTTAGAAATGTTATTGTTTCAGTGTGGTACTCCTCTATACATACTGACATTCATTTGTTGGTCATTTTCAATCAAAGCAGGCACTCCTTTTTCTTTGTATTTCCCTTCTGCAACATCACAGGAGAAATGCCAAAGTGCTCTGTCTAAGACCCAGGCAGGTTTCAAGTGTGGAGAATTCACAAGATTATATGCACACTCTGGATGCTCCTGGATCCACTTACTATTAGCGGCTTAAGGAAAAAGGAAACACAAAGGATCTTTTAATTACATTGAAATTAGCACCTATGTTAAGTTTAAAGTAAACTATCAACAGTTATCAACTACCTCCTTCTATATTAGATATGAATATTTTATAATGATATTGTCTCATGGGAAAAAAAAAAAAACCTTCCTTTTGGTTATGGTATCCTATCATCTACTTCATCATACTTTAAAAGTCTTTTTTCAACTTTATTTCTGCTTTGAAAATTCTGATGGAAGAAAAATCAGTCCTCTCATAAGTAACCCCTTTATACACTAATCTTAAGAGGTTAGGGAGATATGTTGATTGACAAGATTGATTGACGCAAGGCTGGGAAATTGCTAAAAGAAATACAACTGACACTTGAACAATGCCCGGGTTAGAGGTGCAGACTTCCTAAGCAGTAAAAAAAGCCAGAATAATTTCTGGCTCCCCCAGAATTTAGCTACCAATAGCCTACTGCTGACTGAAGCCTGATAACACAAATAGCCAATTAAAACATATTTTGTATATGTACAGAAAATGCTATGAAAAAACTCAAAAATGGGACCAGCAGGTGGTATAATAGTTATGCCGCTGGACTCCTATGTAGTTGACTGCGGTTTGAGTCCCAGACCTGGTGGCTTAAACTCACACGAGGTGCGTGTGCGTGTGTGCCCAAGATCCCGAGAGGAGAATAGGGGAGAAGGGACAGTGGTGTGGCCATCTCCCCTGGGGGGTGATTTCTTGCTTTCTGATTTTCTGGTGAGCACACGTGCCCTCTAGCAAAAACCTCTCAAAAAACAAACAAACAAACAAAAACACCCCAAACTTATGCCAGGCATGTGTGTGCATGAGTGCCTAAAATCCTGAGAGGAGAATGGAGAAGGTAATGCGGCGTGGCTATCCCCCTGGGGGGGGTGATTTCTCATGTTTTGTTTCTGTCTCTTTCTGTCTCTCCAGTAAGCATATGCATCCTACAGCAAAAAAAAAAAAAAAAAAACCATAAAAAAAAAAAAAAAAAAAGAAATACTCTCAAGAAAAAAAAAGAAAATTACAAAAATACATTTATAAAACTATACTGTATTTTCCAATATATTTATTGAACCAATCCATGCATAAGTGGACCTGAGTAGTTCAAAACAGTGTTGTTCAGGGTCAGATGTACATTCACAGAATAAAGGTATAGTGTGTACTGTCTTGTCCATCTGTATCAGTATGTTCCAAATTAAATCAGAAGTTCGTCAAGGTATTTCAAGTAAGTATTTACAACATTAAAGATCATTTAAAAACATTGTCAGAGAGTATGTGTGCTTGCCAGAGAGAGAGAAAAGGTGAAAGGGAGAAAGCATCACTCAATGGGGCATGGGCATACCACAATCCCTTCTCCATTTCTCTCTCCTTTTGAGATTTTTGGGTACACTTGCATATCCACCCAGCATGTTTTTCAAGCTTCTGGGTTTGGGACATGATCTGAGCTGTTAGTTATGGGAGGTACAGCTGCCTTCACCACCACACCACTAACTTGCCCAATGGTAAAATCTTACAACTTTGTTTCTGAATATTTGAAACGAAATCAAGTATAAAATAAAACAATTCTAAACATTAGAAAGTGAAAGTATTTTTTTTCTCATTCTACATGAAAAAGGAGTCAAATTCCAAACTATGCTTTAACATACATCAAAATTAAAAATGAAACATGGACTTCTGGAGTGGCATAGGAAAGAACTAAGAAAAATTATGTAACCAATGAAAACAATAAAAAAGTCAGGTAAACTCTCTGAAAATTGTCCTAAGGGCATTCAGCAAACAAAGACACATTTATTCAGAAGAGCAAGAGTTTGTGGCATTGAGGGTAATTGGAATCCAACATTATTGGCCAGCCACCCCGGAAGCTGGACTTCCACCTTACGAGTAGGTGCTGGTTGGAGAAACGGAACCAGGTTTTTTCTCTGCCTGCACGCCTGTAATACAGCTTCTGTAACACGGGGAGGAGGAGAATGGAACACTGGCAGCCTGCCCTCTCTGTTGTAACTACTGTGTAAACCCCAGACTAGGAGCTGTGGGGAGAGCAGTCTCCATGTTGGCCATACCCACCAAGAGTACAACACCTGGGCTGGAGCTCCCATAACAGATCTGTGTGGCAGGATAATGGAGCAGGTCTTGGTTCAAATGCCTACACTCTTCTTGGTTTTACCAAGCTTTGGCAGATTTTCTTTAGTAGATTTTCATGTTTCTCTAAATGCCAAATATTCTCAGGACAATTTTCAGAGACTTTAAATGATTGCTTTTGAATAATTTTACGAGTTATGGTTGTTTCACTGGGTAGAGAGTAAGTGAAGCCCTTGCCCTGCCATTTCGGAAGCTCACTCCCCCCAGATAACTTTTTTTTGTTTTTTAATGAAAATCTGTTTCATAAAAATGACAGCATGACTTGTAACACTTTCCAAGTAAGGCTGTGACAAAATTCACCTCTTTTATATGGAATGCCTCAGAAATACATAATCTAGGCAGAGACTGCTACTGTGCCTCAATTTTTATTCCTTTCTTCCTTTAGTACTAAAACTATCAAAGGTCAGTTGTACACATAGTTTATACTAAGTTTATACATAGTTGTATACTAAGTAGTACAAGGCCAATTTCTTCTCCTAGGTGTGACAAGAGACAAAATCCTATCTGATACAATATGAGCAGTAGTGTATGTGTTGGATTTTTCTATGCGAAAATGCATCATGACTCTCCTGACAATACATACACACGCGCACGCATGCACACTTTAAAAGGCATGACTTTCTCTCGCTATTGCTACTGGATGGAGAGTGTGACAGCCAAAGACAGAGCAGCAATATTTGATTGTTAAAAGCAAAGTGTTGGAGAAAGCGGAGCAACGTGAGAGAAAGAATCCAGTTCCCTACCATGACCAAGCAATCATTTTAATCCTGGAATGCCTACCTAATCTTTTATAAGAAATAAATACGATTTCAGTTTAAAGTCACTGTTTACTGTTCTTTCTCTTCATTATAGCTACCTAAGCCATACCTTAATTCATACAATTTACAACTAGTGCTATGCCATTACGTGGTTTGGTAAGTTTGAAGTGTTGGTTTCTAGGTGCATGCAGACACACCAAATTTTAGAATGTACCTATTTCTTTTTTCTTTTTAAGAGAGATTTTTGCTATAGGGTGCATATGCTTGCCAGAGACAGAGAGAGAAAGACAGAGAGACAGAAAGTCTAAAACTACCCTCAAAGGGAGATGGCCATACTGCAGTCCTTCTCCTCCATTTTCCTCTTGGGATTTTGGGCATGCATATACATGCTCCTGGCATGAGTTTCAAGTTGCCAGGTCTGGGACTCAAACTGCAGTTGGCCACATGCAAGTCCAGTGTCCTGACTGCTATGCCACCTGCTGGCCCCAAAATATACCTATTTTTTTATCCAACTTTAAGAAAATTACAAAAATACATTTATAAAACTATACTGTATTTTCCAATATATTTATTGAACCAATCCATGCATAAGTGGACCTGAGTAGTTCAAAACAGTGTTGTTCAGGGTCAGATGTACATTCACAGAATAAAGGTATAGTGTGTACTGTCTTGTCCATCTGTATCAGTATGTTCCAAATTAAATCAGAAGTTCGTCAAGGTATTTCAAGTAAGTATTTACAACATTAAAGATCATTTAAAAACATTGTCAGAGAGTATGTGTGCTTGCCAGAGAGAGAGAAAAGGTGAAAGGGAGAAAGCATCACTCAATGGGGCATGGGCATACCACAATCCCTTCTCCATTTCTCTCTCCTTTTGAGATTTTTGGGTACACTTGCATATCCACCCAGCATGTTTTTCAAGCTTCTGGGTTTGGGACATGATCTGAGCTGTTAGTTATGGGAGGTACAGCTGCCTTCACCACCACACCACTAACTTGCCCAATGGTAAAATCTTACAACTTTGTTTCTGAATATTTGAAACGAAATCAAGTATAAAATAAAACAATTCTAAACATTAGAAAGTGAAAGTATTTTTTTCTCATTCTACATGAAAAAGGAGTCAAATTCCAAACTATGCTTTAACATACATCAAAATTAAAAATGAAACATGGACTTCTGGAGTGGCATAGGAAAGAACTAAGAAAAATTATGTAACCAATGAAAACAATAAAAAAGTCAGGTAAACTCTCTGAAAATTGTCCTAAGGGCATTCAGCAAACAAAGACACATTTATTCAGAAGAGCAAGAGTTTGTGGCATTGAGGGTAATTGGAATCCAACATTATTGGCCAGCCACCCCGGAAGCTGGACTTCCACCTTACGAGTAGGTGCTGGTTGGAGAAACGGAACCAGGTTTTTTCTCTGCCTGCACGCCTGTAATACAGCTTCTGTAACACGGGGAGGAGGAGAATGGAACACTGGCAGCCTGCCCTCTCTGTTGTAACTACTGTGTAAACCCCAGACTAGGAGCTGTGGGGAGAGCAGTCTCCATGTTGGCCATACCCACCAAGAGTACAACACCTGGGCTGGAGCTCCCATAACAGATCTGTGTGGCAGGATAATGGAGCAGGTCTTGGTTCAAATGCCTACACTCTTCTTGGTTTTACCAAGCTTTGGCAGATTTTCTTTAGTAGATTTTCATGTTTCTCTAAATGCCAAATATTCTCAGGACAATTTTCAGAGACTTTAAATGATTGCTTTTGAATAATTTTACGAGTTATGGTTGTTTCACTGGGTAGAGAGTAAGTGAAGCCCTTGCCCTGCCATTTCGGAAGCTCACTCCCCCCAGATAACTTTTTTTTGTTTTTTAATGAAAATCTGTTTCATAAAAATGACAGCATGACTTGTAACACTTTCCAAGTAAGGCTGTGACAAAATTCACCTCTTTTATATGGAATGCCTCAGAAATACATAATCTAGGCAGAGACTGCTACTGTGCCTCAATTTTTATTCCTTTCTTCCTTTAGTACTAAAACTATCAAAGGTCAGTTGTACACATAGTTTATACTAAGTTTATACATAGTTGTATACTAAGTAGTACAAGGCCAATTTCTTCTCCTAGGTGTGACAAGAGACAAAATCCTATCTGATACAATATGAGCAGTAGTGTATGTGTTGGATTTTTCTATGCGAAAATGCATCATGACTCTCCTGACAATACATACACACGCGCACGCATGCACACTTTAAAAGGCATGACTTTCTCTCGCTATTGCTACTGGATGGAGAGTGTGACAGCCAAAGACAGAGCAGCAATATTTGATTGTTAAAAGCAAAGTGTTGGAGAAAGCGGAGCAACGTGAGAGAAAGAATCCAGTTCCCTACCATGACCAAGCAATCATTTTAATCCTGGAATGCCTACCTAATCTTTTATAAGAAATAAATACGATTTCAGTTTAAAGTCACTGTTTACTGTTCTTTCTCTTCATTATAGCTACCTAAGCCATACCTTAATTCATACAATTTACAACTAGTGCTATGCCATTACGTGGTTTGGTAAGTTTGAAGTGTTGGTTTCTAGGTGCATGCAGACACACCAAATTTTAGAATGTACCTATTTCTTTTTTCTTTTTAAGAGAGATTTTTGCTATAGGGTGCATATGCTTGCCAGAGACAGAGAGAGAAAGACAGAGAGACAGAAAGTCTAAAACTACCCTCAAAGGGAGATGGCCATACTGCAGTCCTTCTCCTCCATTTTCCTCTTGGGATTTTGGGCATGCATATACATGCTCCTGGCATGAGTTTCAAGTTGCCAGGTCTGGGACTCAAACTGCAGTTGGCCACATGCAAGTCCAGTGTCCTGACTGCTATGCCACCTGCTGGCCCCAAAATATACCTATTTTTTTATCCAACTTTGTCATTATTATTGAAAATTATTATCTACTGATAACTATATTGATGACTGATTATATTGATGAACCAGAGCCATGAGCTTTCTTCATAGCATCTTCATAGTTTCTATGGTAATTTGAAAAAACTACTTTTAAAACAGAAGTTTCTTTTAAATGTCTGTATCACCAGCATTCCTATTGTTTACATATGTAAATCAGTGGTTTCTAGACTTTTTTACAGTGTGGCACGCATAGGTGATAAAATTTATAAGGCACATGGGGTTAAACTGGACGCTATTCATGGCTGGAGGATTCTGTAGGCCTGGCCCAACTGCACAGACAGGCAGGGTGAGCAACCATCTCTTAAAGGATCACCATTGGGAAAATCTGATATGGGTCATAGAATTGTACATTGCTAAGGGAACTTAGAACCAAAAAAGGCTAACATTTAAAAAGCTTTTTTAACATGTACGAGGCATAATATCCAGAATTTACTTTTGAGAGTTTGCTAATTATTTCTCTTTAAATATTAGAAGTCATTCAGTTTTGGGACTGGCAGGTGGTATGGTGGCCAGGGGTGCTGGACTCCCACATGGCTGACCCCGGTTCAAGTCCTGGACCTTTTTTGCTTCCCCTCTGTCTCTCTCTCGCTCTCCTCTCTCTCACTCTCTGTCTCTCTCTGGTCAAATTTAAATAATAAATAAATAAAGTTAAATAAAATAATTATTAAAAAAGTTGATGATAATGTGGATAAAAATATCTTTAATAAAAATAAATAATTAAAAAAAGAAGTTATTCAGTTTTTTCGTAAGTGCTATGGTACCAGAGCTCCAGTTATGTAGGATCCACTTATTAGTCTAAAAAGTATGAATATTCTACTTTGAAATATGTATCATTATGTCCCTTCTATGACAACCCTCCTGTTTTAATAAGCATCATATGCAATGTAGACTATATCTTCAACTCACACTCTTTTCTTTATAAGATAAAAAAAAGATGCCATATAATTGAAGGCTACTTAATCATTATTCATGCTTTTAAAATTTATGTTATATAAAACATGAAGAAAAAGAAATAATCAGAATATTTTCACCAAAATTAATTAATTTAGTGAATGAAGCACATACCAGTGTGATTGTAGACAACATCAGTAATACAAAGAACATTCCATTCCTTTTTCATCTTTTCCACTAGGTGCCCAACATCATTCCAGGTATATTTTTTATTAGGTCTTGAAAAGTCAGGATTTAATTCTAACTGATCAGCAAGGGAATAGCATGACCTAGATAGTCCAAGAGTCTGCAATGGGGTAAAATGAATCATGTTGTAACCTGTAAAGCATGAAAACAAAGACCTCTGTAAAAAACAAACAAAAAACAAAACCCAATAAATCGAACCTCAAACTAAGCAAAATATAAATGTAAACTTTCTTAAGTAATTATAAACATGCTTGTGAAAAAATGTCAAACACTGGATTTAAATCCTAGTTATAACACCACAGGCTTTGAGTTACTTAGATCCCCCAGGATATCAGTATCTACTCATACAAGACTGGGATAATGTGCTAATGTACAGTCAGTCATGCACCACATAATGGCATTTGATGAAGGGCAGTCTGCATATACGATGATGGTCTCTTAAGATTATAATGAAGAGAACAGCAGATGGTGTAATGGTTATGGTGTTGGACTCCCATGAAGTCAACTGGTTTGAGTCCTGGACTCAGAGGCTTAAAACTCACACTGAGTTTGTGTGTATGTGTGCCCAAGATCCTGAGAGGAAAATGGAAGAGAAGAGATTGCGGCATAAATATCCCCCCCTGGGGGTGGCGTGATTTTTCACTTTGTGTCTCTGTCACTCCAGCAAGCGCACACACTCAGTAGCAAAAATCTCTACAGGACATGTGTGCTCACCAGAAAGACAGAGAGACACAAAGTGAAAAATCACGCCACCCCCAGGGGGGGATATTTATGCCGCAATCTCTTCTCTTCCATTTTCCTCTCAGGATCTTGGGCACACACGCACACGCGCCCGGCGTGAGTTTAAGCCACTGGGTCTGGGACTTAAACTGCAGTCAACTACATGAGAGTCCCGTGACATAGCCATTACATCTGCTGATCCCAAGAGATTATAATGGAGCAGGACCAGTAGATAGCATAATGGTTATGTCATTGAATTCCTATGTACTCAAGCCCTGGACCTGGTGGCTTAAAACTCACACTGGGGGGACCAGCAGTTAGCATAATGGCTGTGTCGCTGGACTCCCACATAGTTGACCGCGGTTCGAGTCCTGGACCTGGTGGCTTAAACTCACGCCGGGCGCGTGTGCGTGTGTGCCCAAGATCCCGAGAGGAGAATGGAGGAGAAGGGATTGCGGTGTGGCCATCCCCCCTGGGGGTGATTTCTCGTTTTCTGTCTCTATGTCTCTCTCTGTCTGGTGAGCGCACGTGCCCTATAGCAAAAAAAACTCCTCCAAAAAAAAAAAAAAAGAAACAACTCACACTGGGTGCGTGTGTGTGTGTGTGTGTGTGTGTGTGTGTCCAAAGTCTCTGTCTCTCTGGTGAGCACACATGCCCTATACCAAAAAGAGAAATAATAAAAAAAAAAAAACTCTCTCTTTAAAAAAAAAGGAAAGCAAAATCATGCCGGGAATGTGTGCATGTATGCCCAAAATCCCAAGAGGAGAATGGGGAATGGAGGAGAAGGGAGGAGAAGGGAGGAGAAGGGATAGTGGCATGCCATTCCCCCTGGAGGATTATTTCTCACTTTTCCTCTGTCTCTCTCTGGGGAGTGCATGCGCCCTATGGCAAAAACCTAACAATAAAATAAAATAAAGTAAATAATTTGTGAACACTTACTCAGTCTTAAAAAGAAATTCACATGAAATGAATAAGATCTGAAAATATGGTATGCTCTGTTATGCTTCAGCAGCTTCATACATCCGATGTTGACCAAATATCTTGATTGCATCATTTTCTCTAGTGCTTGATTTGATCTTGTGTTGTTTTGATTACTGTGGCTCTTTAGCATATAAAATCTACTATATACACCTCACAGCCTATGTGGATAGCAGGCTATACCATCTAGGTTTGTGTAAGGTAAGGACGCTATTATAATAACACGATGATGAGACTGCCTGATGATACATTCCTCGGAATGTATGCATGCCTGCTGTTAAGGGATACATGACTGTACTTGGGAAAAACATACGCAGAGCCCAGTTATTTCAAGGAGTTCAACTTTTATTGGCCAAGGGAAAATATCTACATGTAGAAAATATATCCTATGCAAGTATGTCAACATATCTTTCTCCCCTTTAATGTCCCACAGTACTTGTACTCGGTGCCAGTTATGTCAGTGAACTTCTCGCTCCTTCACACTATATTCATTCATACAATATTCAGTTCAAAAGTAGAAAATCAGTATTATCTTTTGACTAGTGTAAAATACAACTTAAGTTCCATTTTACTCTTGGCACAGCACATGCCTTCTGCCTGGTAAGCAGTTAATCAAGGCTCTGAATTAAAATTATAATCATATATTTTCTTACACATTTTTTTGAGAGGTTTTTGCTATAGGGTGTGTGCGCTCATCAGAAAGACAGAGAGAGACAGAGATAGAAAGCGAGAAATCACCCTCTGGTGGGATGGCCACGTCGCAATCCCTTCTCTTCCATTCTCTTCTCGGGATCTTGGGCATGCACATACACGCATCCGGCGTGAGTTTAAGCCACCGGGTCTGCGACTCGAACAGCGGTCGACTACATGGGAGTTCAGCAACATAACCATTATCCCATCTGGTCCCTTCTTACACATTTTAATACTTTACTACTAACCTTTATATGTTAAAGTCTTACAAATGATAATGCTCTCATTTTATCATACAGTCCTTCCCTTATTAATTTGGACCACATAATTTGCCATTTGGTAGGTTAAAAGCGGTCCAGTATTAAAAACATATTACAGCTCAAAAAAATAAAAAAACACTTAATATGGCTCTATCTATTTATATCACTAAACGTTAAGAAACAAAACTAAAAGTAGGAGGAAAGTCCGTGAAATCTTTTTCAGAGCGATAATCAGATTTTTAAAAGAAAACTGATATTACCTGATTCTTTTGCAACCCTAAGTCTGCTTTCCCATTCATCAAAGGGTCCCAAACATTTAGCCAAAAATGTCTGGAGAGTAACACAGTCCAAGGGTAACACGTGATTATCAGCACCGACATGTAAAACAGGATCGACAACTATATATCCTCCACCACTTTTCTCATTTCTAAGAGGAAAAACAAAACCAAAACATTTCAATTAATGACAGAAAAAAAATCATCATTTAAGAGTCCGAATCTAACTGGAAGGTTAATTATCTCATTTAAAAATACATTTACCTCTGGAGCTGGCAGGAGGCGTGGTGGTAGAGGCGCTGGATTCCCACATGGCTGATTGCGGTCAGAGTCCTGGACCTGGGGGCTTGCTTCTTGCTTTCCCTTTCTCTCTCTCTCTGGTCAAATTTAAAAATAAAAAAAAAAATAATGATATGGGGCCAACAAGTGCCATAGTGGTTAAAGTGCTGGATTCCCACAGGGCTGACCACAGTTTGAATCTCGGACCTGGTGGTTTCCTTTCTCACTTTTCCTTTCTCTTTCTCTCTGGTGAAATTTAAAAAATAATAATAACAAATGGAATTAAATAAATAAATAAATAATTGTTTAAAAAAATAACAAATGGAATAAATAATTCTTTTTTTAGAGAATTACTTAATTTTTTTTTATTTATTCATTTATTTTAATTTGACCAGAGAGAGACAAAGAGAGAAAGTGAGAAAACAAGCTGCCAGGTCCGGGACTTGAACAGTGGTCAGCCATGTGGGAGTGTCCTGCACCTTAACCACCACACCCCCTGCTGGTGCCCTGAATAAATAATTCTTTAAAAATATTTACTTCTAAGCATATAAATTAACTTTAAAACTTGTAACAAAACTTAATAGAAAAGACACTTTCTACCTTTTCCCAATTGCTACAAAATTACATAATACTACATACGTATAACATCCAGTAAAATAGACTTAATAAAAATAAGTATACTAAGATTTTCAGTTACAAGGACACTTGAATAGCATCCAAAGAGTCTTTAGAAAGTTCATACAAAATGGTTATCGTGAAGAAATGAATTCATATTGAATTTCATGTTTTTACATGAATTTCATATTTTTTATGCCAAAATAAACTTGTACTTTAATTTCATTTTCCCATGGACTTTTTAAAGTATTCTCATACAATCAGGCTGCATGAAGAAAATTAGTGTTTAAGCTATAACTTAAAAGTAGTCATATAATACTTTAAATCTGCAACGGGCTGCACAATTACCTCCTAGAAACTAAAGAACCACACTCCATTTGCAGCTCAAGAAAGCACTGTAAAAATTGTACTACAAAAGTTAATTTAGTAATTTCTGAAAAGTAACTTCAGATTAGAGGATAAATTAATATTTTTTCTCCACACACAGAACACCTGACTTACCCCTGAAGGAAGTAATACTGAAATGATCCAGATTGCTGCAGATTAAGTTTACAGTATTTATCAGAATCATCCTCTCTTTCTGTTGGATTTTCCCAGTCCAGGGAACGAAATTTTTCTCGATGAAATGTTTCCCCAGGAAATGGGTAATTTGTATACACAGTAACTGCTTTTCCCTGTAAAGTCGGGCCTAATCTGAACTGTAGTTCAAACCCTAAATAAAAAAGCACATTTTAATAAACTCATTATAGAATTTAAACTATCACATTAAAAAACATCAATGCTTTATTTCAAGATTTACAAAAACTATGACTTTTAAATTATGTTTAAAATAACTCACATACCTAATGCTCTTTTGAAAGTACTTTACATGACAATTTAGCAAAATTTTATATTTTAAAAAGTTAACATCACAGAACTGTCTGCTCTGGAATAGTCCCTTCTCCTGCCCCTAGACATGACTATGATGGGATGTGCATATTCTTTCATCACCTTATCTTCATGAGCCATCAACTTCTCCCAGCCCTTCACAACCACCCCTAAATTAACTGCCCAGAATTAGGCATCTGAAAAAAGACCTTCTTTAGTATTTTTTAAACTGCAACAGAGAAAGTGAGTTTCTGTGCAGCGTCAGAATACATGACAGTGGTAAAACGGGAGTATCATGGAACAGCTATCCCATTACACAGAGAAAGCCAGTCTTCCATGAGAGAAGTCAGTCTCTGGGGAGTCAGAATTCAGACTTTTCTTTTGTTGTTTAAAGTTTATTAATTTCATGAGCAAGAGAGAGAAAAAGAGAGCTATAGAGAAACAGGGTCTTGATGCTACAATCTACCCTCAGCCTAGCCAGCCCTGGATCACGGCTACATTTGTGCCTGGCATACTCAGGGAGGTCTCTAGACATAAACCCAGAGTCCTCCAATATGAGTAAGTCTTGCACGTGAAGAAAATAACATTATGGAACATAAACATTAAGTTGCTCAAAATCAGTGGCAAAGAGAGTATCTTACAAGTAGCCAGAGCGGGGCAAAGACAATCAGTACAGAGAACAAAGATAAGAATGATGGCAGATTTCCTGTGGGGAACAATGCAAGCTCAAAGTAGAGTGCTATCTTTAAAAGTACTGACATAGTAAAACTGTCATTCTAGAACTCTATTCTGGTAATAAAAAAAAAAAAAAAAGAAAGAAAAAAAAATACCCTTCAAACACAAAGGTTATGAAAACCAGGTTTTTTATTGTCAGAAAGACATGTTACAAATAGACCAAGGAGGAAAGTTACAATGAAATCCCTTGTGCCAAATCTGAATCAGAGATAACAGTAACTATTGCTATTTATTGCTATTTATTTAGACATAAAAGTCAACTTGGTTTAAGGAAAAAAAAATTTTTTTTGAGAGGTTTTCGCTATAGGGCATGTGTGCTCGCCAGACAGAGACATAGAGACAGAAAGCGAGAAATCACCCCCCAGGGGGGATGGTCACACCGCAATCCCTTCTCCTCCATTCTCCTCTTGGGATCTTGGGCACGCACGCACACGCGCCTGGCATGAGTTTTAAGCCACCGGGTCCAGGACGTGAACCGCGGTCAACTACGTGGGAGTCCAGCGACATAGCCATTATGCTAACTGCTGGTTCCCTCAAGGAAAATCTTGAAGCTGGAAACACACAGGTTCCAGTCATGTATCAAATTGCTCTTTGGTAGAAGTAAATCTCTTACAGTGTTATTTGACAGGTGGAAAATTCTTCACAATATTAAATATTGGGTTAAACATTCTCTGTAAACAAGATTTTAGTAAAAGACATTAAGAGAATGCTGGATTCTTCTATTTCACTCCAATCCAAATAAATACTTTTATGATCACCAAGACAAATTAAATGGTTCATTCTGCATAGAGTAATATGGACAATGGAATGAAAGTTGTTAAAGTCTTCCTGAAAGAAGCTATTATCTAGTGGTTAAGTATTGTTAACCATATCCTGGATAGGACTAAAAAATGGATGTAAATTTATTTATAGTATGTGGCTTTAGAAAGGAAGAAACAAACCAGCCAAATGGAGTTAAATACACAAAAATCCAGAGACTCAGTTTTTACTTCTCACACTGTACAGTGAAACTAAGAATTTCTTTTCCAAGCAACAATATCTACAGATTTTTCTATAAAACCATTTGGTATTAATATATTAAGGGTTTATATTTTTGACTTAAATTTTACATAGATGTATTTTTAAAGGATTAATCTGTGATATAAACATAGATTGTGTATAAGGATGTTCAACATAGCCCCATTTATTATCATTAAACTGACAACAACCTAAATATCTAATGATTGGGAATAATTAAATCACTATATATATGAAAGCTAAAATATTGTAAAGCTATTGCAAATAATGTTAGCAAAATACATTTAATAACATTTAGTAAATACTTATTCTGTTTTGTTACATTTTATGCACTTATAATCTTTTTTTTTTTGGAGAGGTTTTTGCTGTAGGGAGTATGCGCTCGCCAGACAGAGAGAGACAGAAAGCGAGAAATCACCCCCCAGGGGGGATGGTCATGCCACAATCCCTTCTCCTCCATTCTCTTCTTGGGATCTTGGGCACGCACGTACACGCGCCCGGCGTGAGTTTTAAGCCACCGGGTCCGGGATGCGAACTGCAGTCGACTATGTGGGAGTCCAGCGACATAGCCATTCCGCTAACTGCTGGTCCCACACCTATAATCTTTTGAAATCCCTGGAAAGAAAGTATGGCTGAAACATAGCAGTAAGTAGGGAGGTTGAAAAAAAGCACATTAAAAATTGTTTATAGTGGGAACCAGCAGTTAGCGTAATGGCTATGTCGCTGGACTCCCACGTAGTCGACCACGG